TATTGCAGAGAACTAGGAAGGAAGGTCCAGGACAGAGTAAGCTGGAGAATGCTAGTCAGCGGCCTATGCTCCATTGTAGGTAACTAGCTTAAGTAAGTAAGTAAGTACCTGCATTTCACAGAGCTGATATTCACTCTGACACTAAAACTCAGTACCATATGCTTCAAAAGAATGATCCATTGCAGTACTTAACATAAATGGGGAAAATTCGAACAACTATGTTCATTGTTTTGTTATACAATTTTGACGTATCTATTGTACCTTAAGGTCAATAAAAGTGAAAAGTAAATAACTTTGTAAAAGTACACGTCTAACAATCATGCTTTTTGACTAGTCTGACAGATAACAATTACTGATCACATGATATATTACATTACATATCTTTCAAGCAACAAGAAAATATGTTTACAATACAGTTATGATCCAGTCTTTGGCGTATTTTTGTGTCAGTATTTTTTTGTCAGATACATAACAAAAACAAGGGAAAACTAATTGGAAGTGATGTTTTATAACTTGTCTGTAGTTGAAACACACTGTTGTTATGTAAATATAGTCACTGTTATGTCTAAGATCTTACTGATTATAAATTGAAAACTGGGAACCAATGTAATTCTTAGCAGATACAAAGTCAGTATATATGAAGAACTGGTGTAATAAAAGATTTAACTACCTCTTCAAAAACATATCGTCTGAAATGTTGTTCATCAGGCCAGATATACATTCGTTTATGTAATGAGTTTAACAATATAATGTATTACCGGAATAATGAATCAATCATTGTTAGACCACCTTTAGGAAACTGAAAGCACTAGACAGCTGTTTCGTCCTAGTATGGGACTAATCAGTGACAGTGTGCATCCGCGACCCCTGCCGTTGCAGGATTCAAACTCGGGGCCTTCAGATTTGGAGTTCAAACCTGACGGATGTAGGCAGTAAATACGGAAGACAAATGGGTGAGGTCGCGCAAAATCCCTAGATCGATCAAGGTTAAACACTAACACCGTTGGGTGCCAGCCCAGTAGTCCTGAGGTCAGGGGTTCGCGCACAAGACTGGAGGTCATGGGTTCGAATCCTGCGAGTATCAGGAGTTATGGATACGCACTACTGATGAGTCTCGTACTAGGACGAAACGGACATCCAGTGCTTCCAGGTTTCTAATGGTGGTCTAATAATGATTTGTTCATAATTTCAGTAGTAAACAACAATCTCTATAACTCTAGAATGAAAAATATCATGTAAATTTCAGAAAAAATGAACAGAGTTACCGAAAGAACATACGATGACACTAGTTCACTTGAAATGATACATGGGGCATGATGTCACACTGATCGATATTTTTAATAAATTGACCTAAAATTTGTCATCGTATTAATCGTCGATTTATTCTCTGTTAGGAAAGGATTGAATTCGAAATCCTTAAGGTATCCAGTTTGTCAATAGAAGAAAGTAAAAGTGTGAGAGTAAGCAACCTTGTCTGATACTGATCATCACTTGGAATGAGTCTACGAGCTTGTGCCTTGCTTTCTGTGCTCCTGTCTGGCTGCTTTCCGGTTCTTCCTTTCTTGAATCTTATCCCGAATATCAACAGAGATCCATTCCTTGTTGTTCAAAACCTCATGACATGCTGAAGTTATTGCTTTTTAGATTCCTTTCCAGTTGTTCACTACGGCAGCTTCTTCTCCATTGAGTAGAGCATGAAAGGCTTGGAACTTATTACTGAGAGCTATATTGACTTGGATGAGTTTCTTTGTCTGGAAGGGTGCTTCGCTAATTCTGAGTGTTTTCTATGCTTATTTGGACGACAACAGTGCATCTCCCTATGTATGTGCGAGGAAATTTATTCTCCATGACTGGAGTATAATATTATCTCTTCTGAAGTTAGTCTTTTTTGTCCAACCTTCGTCCAATGTGTTTTACTTATTCCAAAGAACACCAAGATGTATCTTTTCATTTCTACAGCAACTTGAATGGTGCTTCCGGCCTCTCGCGTTGTATGAACTTTCCATGTACCTATATTAATGGTCGGTATGGTTGTCAGAAAGGACATCAACTTCGTGACTTCCGAAGAAACTCGACTTTCATCAGGAGGCGTCATAACTCTTCTAAATGAAGACTTTCCAACTTCCAGGACAGAGTTTAAATAAATTGAATTATTTGCTCTTGTTAGAGCTTTTTTAGTAAGTTAATTTTCTACAGGGTGGGGTCACTGACCCCAGATCCAACTGTCCTATGTCCGGGCTTGGGATCCATAGTTACGTTAGAAGTTCTCCAGGTAGAGTTGTACGGACATTCATTATAAATTGAGAGGACTCTATGTCAGAAAATTTCTTTAAATATCTTGTTCAGATCAATAGCCAATCGAATTAATTTAACAACCTACACAAAAGAATTTGTTCATTGTCAGTCAGTCAATTAGTCAACTACAACACGGAACTTGGTACGTATGTACATCAGTTCAAGTTTCCATACCACATTAGCACACACAGATCGAACTGTCGATTCAAATCCTATAGTAGTATAGGTAGTAGAAGTATTAGCAGTAATTGAGAGGATTAGATATGATTCAACAAGTATAGTCCAATGAAATCAATTTAAAAAGAGAAAAATCGGTCAAAGAGAATTCAGAAGATAAGAATTTGAGAGGAGACAAATAATGGATGCACCTGTACCATTGCAAACGATTTTGGGCCATGTCATTCAAAGTCTCTAACCTTAAGTCACGATTGTTTCGAGGACCTCAATAAGGTAGTCTACATCTACTAACACAACTCAGTCCAGTTGTCAATGACTCCATAGATTTATGCCATGTTTTGTTTTAACTGGCTCTACATGAGAATGTATTCATTGAAACAGTCAGTTATCATCTGAAACTAACAATCGAAAAGAATGCGAGTAAATATGAAGACAATCCATCTAGACACAAGGACTTCTGAACGATTTCATTGAACACGAATGATTAACTAGCGACATTCATTATTGTAACTAACTGTAGAAGTGAATATTTTACTGAACATTTTGTTTATTTGTACTTGTGTAATACACTCCCTTTCTTCGCGGTTGCCATCTTGTTTTTGGTGCTCTGTACCTTTCGCCCAATTTCACTGGCATGATTTCTTTATTCTTTCGATACCATGAAATCGTCATGAAGTCTTCCCTTTTATGAATTAAAGAGCTGGGTTAGTGCTTGGGACCTGAATGTAATTGGTTTGTTTTACGTATTCATAGTCTTCGACTCGAACATCTACAAACCCACTTCTACCTGCAATATGCTCTGATGTCATTATTCCGAATAACAATGAAAACTCTCTCCAATTAAACTAAACATAATATTCATCAAAACTACACAAATATTACTTATGAATCAATTAAAATAACTTTATGAAAACAGGAATCCATCGACTTCTATTTTACAAAATGTTAAATCTTTACACACCTAACTCACTACTCACCACTCTACATCAACTTCATCAACTACGAGAAAGCATTCGATAGCGTGGATAGGAGAACATTGTGGAGTCTTCTTTGACACTACAGTGTGCCTGAGAAAATAGTTAACGTCATACGGAATTCTTATGATGGATTCAAATGCAAAATCGTGCACGGAGGTCAGCTAACAAACTCGTTTGAGGTGAAGACCGGTGTCAGGCAAGGTTGCTTACTCTCACCCTTTCTCTTTCTCTTGGTCATCAATCGACTGGATTATGAAGACGTCGACATCTGGAGGGAAGCACGGTATCAACTGGACAGTTAGGACGCAGCTGGACGATCTGGACTTTGCAGATGACCTGGTTCTTCTATCTCACAAGCAACAACAAATGTAAGAGAAGACGACCAATGTAGCAGCAGCCTCTGCAGCAGTAGGTCTCAACATACATAAAGGAAAAAGCAAAATTCTCCGATGCAACACAACATGCACCAACCAAATCACTCTTGATGGAGATTCCTTGGAGGAATTTAACACTTTTACATATCTGGGCAGCATCATCGACGAGAAAAGTGGATCCGAAGATGCAGATGTGAGGGCGCGAATTGGCAAAGCAAAGGCTGCATTTCTACAGTTGAAAAATATCTAGAACTCCAAACAACTTTCAACCAAAACCAAAATCACGATTTTCAATACAAATGTCAAGACAGTTATACTGTATGGAGTGGAAATCTGGAGAACTACCAAAGCCATCATGCACAAGATACAAGTGTTTATTAACAGTTGTCTACGTAAAATACTTCGGATTCGTTGGCCAGATACCATCAGCAATAACTTACTGTGGGAGAAAACAAACCAAATTCCAGTGGAGGAGGAAATCGGGAAGAAGCGGTGGAAGTGGATAGAACACACACTGCTAAAAGCACCCAACTGTGTCACAAGACAAGCCCTCATATGGAACCCTCAAGGCAAAACGAAAAGAGCAAGGCCGAGGAACACACTACGCCGAGAAATAGAGAAAGATATGAGAGGAATGAACAAACATTGGACAGAACTGGAGAAGGAAACCCAGGACAGAGGTGGTTGGAGAAAACTGGCGGGTGGCCTATGTTCCATTGGAGGTAACAGGCGTAAGTAAGTAACTAACTAGTCACACATAATAACAAAGAACGCTTACATAATTCACCAGTTTGTAATAGAACAAATCGATAGGATTATGACTAAGCACTACGATTTCATGAAGTTTTAGATAGATTTCTATTTTCTAGAAATTTGTACTGTGATCATGTTATTCAGTGATTTCTCATCTTAATTATCGGATATTCGGTTCCCAACAAAGCTATCTAGCTTTGTTTTCGCCTCATTTCGTCACAGTGTTGTCGTTATTCAACACAGATCAATCAATACATCCTTTGTTGTGCATAAAAAAAAACAGTCATGTGACTTGTTAGTTAATTGATTGGTTAAGCTGATATGTCTATAAGTACATGATGATGAAAAAAATGAACCAATCATTAACTACCAATGTCAGTATTCCAAAACCGATCAATAATTTCGTTCTGTATAACCTAACTGCATATATAAATAAATCCTTCATTATTCCCAATTTCTAAGTGTTCATATCATCATTAACTATTTTTTTAGGGTAACAATTTAAAAAGGGAAAATAAAAACCCGCTTTTTTTGTTTTGTTATTATCTAAACGTACATTATGCATAGTTGTTTAACATTAGTAGATTATACATGGAAAGATAGTGAAGAAAGTGGTACATCAACACCGAATTATTCAAATGATGATTATTATATTTATCGTCTTCGACGAACAGCTCGATCATTAGATAATCATGATGATATAACAATGAATCATTGTACATTAACAGAAATAAACAGAAATAGACAATATCGAAGACAATTAAATGATATGTTAAATTGTTCATTAACACATTTAATCAATGATGATAATCATTCATCACATCCACATCAACACCATCATCAACTTCGTCATCAACATCATCCTCATCATCATAGTTCAATGGTTTTATTAAATAATAGACGATTACCAATATATGCTACAAGTAAACGTTTATTAAAAGGACCAGATCATATATGGGTACCAGTAGGACATTGTCGTTATTTATTAGAACGTGATTTACGCACAGGTGAAATACAATGGAATCCTGAAGGTAATGAAATTTTATGTACTCCTAGGTAAGTAGTGAGTTTTATGAAAGAGGGTTGTTTGTTTTTATTGTTTCGTCAGTTTAAAATATCCCACTGTTTGTATATTTATTGAAAATTGAATGTTCTCACTTTTAATGGTTTGGATACCCTGAATGATATGGCTCAAAATCGTTTGCAATGACGTCGGTGCATTTATTCTTTGTGTTCTCTCAAATCTTAATCTTCTGGATTCTTCAACACCTCTAGTTTTGACTTTCTAAATATATCTCACTGAATTATACTTCTTGAATAATATCTTCTAATCCTAACCTCTTCGATTACTTCTAATACCTTTACTATCTCTACTACTACTATTGGATTTGAATTGACAATTGCATCTCTGTGGTGATGTGGTATGGCAACATGAACTGATGTACTTACGTACAAAGTTCTACGTTGCATCTGACTGACTGTAATATAAAGCAGAGTGTACTGCTTTTAAAGCAAAGTATAATAGATTAGTTTGTACTTGGTAAAGATTTGTTGTACATTGACGATACTGAAAATTTGTTACATTTCGAATCTGTGATTACGGTATGGCGCGGCCAAGATTCTGCTCTCATTAGGAGTCAGTAGTGAATAGAAAATCTTCTTAAGTATCGTATGTTATGTTATCGAAAGCTCTTAATTGTCATCAGTAACCTCATATCCTCTTTATTCATTTTAGGGATTTCTTTAAGTTCATATCTTGACCTCAATATTAAGTTACGATATTATTTAATACTTTCAATTCCATGATTTTACCCATTTCTGAACTCTGTTTATAGTGTTGAGATTTCCACTACCACCGACTGCCTCGACGAGCTTTATTTTGTAGTGTAGGAGTAGGTTGGGAGAAAGTTAGGGGCGGCCAAACGAAAATATGGCAGAAATCCATGAAATCATTGACAAGTGGACTTAGCCATGTCGGTATTTGTCGACTACCTGGTTAGGGTCCGCGAGATGATAATAATTGATGGTTAGAGACCCTGAATGACATTGCTCAAAACCGTTTGCTATGGCGCAGGTGCATTTATTCTTTGTGTTTTCTCAAATCCTTTCCTTCTGGATTCTTCAACCCCTTTAGTTTTGACTTTCTAAACTTTTCTCATTTAATCATACTTCTTGAATGATATTTTCTTATCCTAACCTCTTCGATTAGCTCTAATACCTTTACTATCTCTACTACTACTATTGGATTTGAATTGACAATTATATCTCTGTGCTAATTTGGTGGCATGGCAATATGAACTGATATACTTACGTACAAAGTTCTACGTTGCATCTGACTGACTGACCTTTGACACAACGGTAACTTTCTGATTGAAAATATCACTATCGCATGTTTTATGATACAGAATGAGTAAATGGCTTACATACATTCATTCATCTACTGATGTTCTTACTGAAACTCGCTTTAAGTATTAAACTCTATTTCCCCCTGTAAGTTATTGGTTCAATGTATCTGTCTCTCGCTTATATGGTTCTACGTTTTTAATCGATTAGTACTGTGTTCGAATTGTAGGTGGATAATATCAATGCAAGGTCGATCTTATTCGTAGTAGTGTAGTGAACGAGAACACAGGTGGGGCAACCAAATTGTATTTAACGAAAATTACAAAGTTACTCAGTAAAATCGGAAAACCATATTGTAAATCGTTAATTTGCAAAATATCAGTCCATCATATCGAACTGGACTGTTCCTGTTGCAAAACATCAATCCATTGTCTGACATTTCACTGTTCACGCGTTTCATACAAATTCCATTGTATTCTAACTCTTCCTTTCTTGATCTTCCCCCATCTTCTGCTGCCAGACATTGCGTACGTTGACACTCACGTCATATACTACTTATAAGTAGCGCTCACCACAGTAGGTATCAAAGTAGAAAATCAATAATTCTGAATAGATTTCTAGGCAAAAGGTGTATGAATGTTGATCAATTAACCATATCGTTGAATTTCATTGAAATCATGAATCGATCAGTGTTGGACCACAGCATTAGAAACCAGGAAGTACTGAATGGCTGTTTCATCCTAGTATGGGTCTCATCATCTATGATCTTTGTCTCCGATGTGATCTTTCACCTTCCTCTTCTCATTTGACCTTGAGGGTTTCAAGTTAGGGCTTACCTTGTGACTTAAGCAATGTGTGTTCTATCCGTTTTCAACACTACTTCCTAATTTTTTCGACAGTGGGAAGCTGGTTTTTTCTCTCCCACAGTAAGTTGTTGCTGATGGTGTCTTGTCAACGGATCCACAGTATCTTACGCTGGCAGCTGTTAATAAACATTTGTGTCTTTTGGATGATACGCTTGGTAGTTTCCAAAGTTTACGATCTATGCAACAGAATAGTTTCGACGTTTCTAATGAAAGTCGTAACTTGGGTGTTCTTCAATCATAGGAATGATATCAATACTTTATCAATCCGTACGTTCACATGTGCATCAGATCCACCTAGTTTATCAATGATGCTGGCCAAATATGTGTAAAGGTTACCACATGTTCTCCATCAAGTGTGATTTGGTTGATGCACGTTGCGTTTTATCCAAAGATGTTGCTGTTCTCCTTGTGTATGTTGAGGCCCAATACAGCAGATGCTGTTATTAGACTGGCTTTTTTCACCTTCATTTGTCGTTGTGTAGTCATTATTATAACTTTCATTTATTCTCACCATGGGGTTGTGAAGATTGTTGAGTTTCATTGAAATCATGAACCGATCGATGTTAAACTACCATTGGAAACATGGAAGCATTGAACGGTTGTTCCGCCTAACAATGCATATCCATGGCCAGGCAAACGGGAATCGAACCCAGAACCTATGGACCTAAGAGTAAACGCTCAATCTTGTGACCAGTTAGCTTGCATCCAATGGTGTTAATGTCTATCTTGAATCAATCTACCAGACTGTACAATTGCCATCCATAGTTTTCGTTGAGTAACTAACTGCCTGACAATGCGATGTGATGGAACTCCACTGTTCATAGTTTCTTGCTAGAACTCCGACTATCCCAAAACTTACTTTCAATAATTGATTTTTAGAAACAGTTCATGAATCATACTACTTTAGCGGATAAAATTTGGGTTTAGTAAGTAGGTAAATGGAACGGTGCGCATCAACACTGGTGTACGAGTACATGAAAATGACGAATTCCTAACACAAAGAGATGAGCTTCTTGAATTCCATTGCTACTCACGATTGAAATGTCCCTAGATTCATGAATTCACTAAATGTAGGATTGATGTGAGGAGCGGATCGTCAAACCAAGGGCAGCATTTTTATAACTGAAGAATGTCTGCAACTCAAAACAACTACCAGTAAATACTAAAATCACAATTTTCAATGCAAGTGTCAACATGAGGGGGTGTAGCGAGGATTTGAATTTAACTAATTTGATCTCGTGTGCTGTTACAGGTATGAGGACGGTTGTCACTTCCCAGCTGCCCACACCGTGGAAGGTTGTTTCTTGAAGAACCTGAAAAGGAAGATAGATTAGTGTTGGTCTTAACGACCTGAGAGCGTGACCGTAGAGCCAAAAGGACAACTGTTTGAGGCCGGTCACGCACGGCCTTTTGATGAAAATTTTTTTGAGTATTAGCTCCGCTCTTAAAAGTCCTTAATGGGCACCCTTACCACCTGAGACGGAAATCGGTGAGGTAGGGTGAGGTGTGACAGTTTTAGGGTCGACCTTTTCTAACCGTTGCTTCCTCGTGAGAAGGCAGCATCGCTGAAGATGCTGGTTGTTCAAGGGAAACACATTACTGCTGTCATATCCCTCTGCAGTCAGCAGTATGACTTCGCCCTCAGACCTTGGGTAGCAGCTTTTAGTCTCATCGTTCTCCAATCGACCTGCCTGACATAGTTGAACCTACAAGAACATATGTTCCAGCCAATATAGCTTGGTTGGGCCATCACGATAGGCAAGCCCGACCACCACGTTAAGCCAGCAGCTACGGTCGGGACAAATGTCAAGACATTTCTACCGTATCATTAATCTTGAGAAAGGTATTATTATTTCTCCAATTAGGGGCTACTGCCGGTCCCAAGCCCGGATAAAGGAGATGGGGTTGGCGCCCCCATCCCAACTAAAAACTAACTTGCCAAAAAAAAACTCTAAACGCCTTCATTATCCAGCGTTAATTATATTAAGATTAAAAATACTACTTATTTCATTTTCTATTCATATTTTTTTGTTAAATATAGAAGTTTAACAGAAATTTGTATGGCACGTTTAATTCGTGATTGGCCATGTATTCTACCTACTCGACGTTCATCATTACGTAATATTGTTAGTTTCTTATTTAGTTCTCATGATAGACAATCAAATCCTACACAGATTCCCCCTACTTCATCATCTCCCTCTTCTTCATCGACTATACCAACACCAACATCATCCTCCTCAACATCATCATCGCCATCTTCAAGACACTTATCCAATTCGACATCATATGATTCTAGTTGTACTACTCACAATGTGATTCATAACCAAGAACCTTCTGTCAATCATTATACAACTACATCTCCTCTAACTTGTCATGATCTACCAGTCACAGTGTTGATTAATTTATTATCTGAAGCTATTCTACAACGTGATTGTTCTGCTATCACTGGTCTAATTGCAAATTGGCCATGTGAACAATTAATAGTGAAACAACTCATCCCAATGGAAGATTATCCTTTGTCATTAAATTATATGACAAAACCAACATTTGTATTAATTAGTTCAGAGAATGAAAATCCCGCTCAGAATACATTCATGAAAGGATCAAGTCTATTGGATGCATTTATATTAGGATTTTTAACAAGACAATCCGGATGTAAATTGAAATCAGTTGATTTTACTGGATTTGAAGAAGGTAAAGATATAGAATTTTGAAAAAATGTGATGAGTTTTATTGTTTGTCATGTTGCTTGCTTACTTACTTACCTGCTCTGTTCTGAGCTTTTCCTTTCTAGTTCTGTCTAATTGCTGTCAACTCTTCTCATGTCTGTCTCCGTTTTTCAGCGTGTTACACCTGAACATAAACACGTCAACTGGATATGCTTGAACTATTACGAGTTTACCTTAGTTGGAAAAAGAGAGCAAGGATCGAGGATCCGGCGACACGACATGCTACTTAAACCCGATTATTCCAACCACCATACTGAGTAAAAAATAAGAAGACTTGATATGAAGTAGAACCTGTATTCTACAAGCATCCAGAAAGTACGAGGTCCGAGTCCAGAAAAGAATTAGGGTCACGGACTAGGGATCCGGGACCGGGTCCTGGTCGCAAAACGTTACAGATCATGCGTATTTATACATTTTGGTCGAATAGGAAACAGCATCGTAGTCTGTGACATTGACAGTTAAGACGACCAATAGGAAGCAACATTGGAGCACGTGACATTGATATCTAGGACGACCATAAAATTGACCAGTAGGAATTGACCAATAATTCTCTTAGGATATTGGATGAATATCCTAACACAGAGTAGTGTGTTTTTTGATCTTCCTGTTTTCCTTTAACCTTGAGGATTCCAAGTGAAGGCTTATCTTATGATAGACTTAGGTGCTTTGCTCAATATATGTCCTATTCACCAACACCGGCGCTTCTTTCTGATTTCTCTCTCTGCTGGCATCTAGTTTGTTCTATCACACAGTAGGTTGTCGTTGATGGTATCTGACCAACGGATCTTGAGTTTCTTGTGTAGACTTACTTATTTAGGTCTGTTACCCCTAATGGAGACTATAAGTAGAAGAACAGCATTCTCAAATTTGTTCTGTCCTACGCCTTCCTTTGCAGTTCTGTCCAGTTGACGATGTTGTGTTTAAAAGATCACTGTCAGCTCCACAACTAAAACATCCACCTGAAAGTACGAAACTCCACCGTGGTATCATAGTAATTACCAACTTTAGAATGAGGCCACATCTTGCTAACAAGTCCCTAATCGGACGAAACACGCATCTTCGATTTCATTGTTAGAAACCATCCATCTCGGTTTATAAAACTGTCATTTGCACTCACGAAGCAAAAACTGTATTCAGAAGCTAATAAGTATTGATTATTCTGTGATAGGATATGTGTTCTAGAATTTGTAGCGCTTCTGCTGTTCATTGTTCAATTTTTGTTGAACATATGATGTGTTCATTTAGTGAGTAAATGATTCATAGAAGGGCATAAGTTTCATTAAAGATTGGATTTGAAATTGTTACTTGACATTTTATTGGCTCATTTCATCCGGCAATTAGATATGAACTACAATATATGTTATAATTCTCTTATTATAACCCAGTTATTCCTAATGCTCAGTATTCTCGGACACCGAATCAGAACACGGTTGAACAGGAAAGAGATTATATTCCAATAACAAGGTTAGATGGAAGTTAGAGAAGTCCAAAACGTTAGTATATTTTTAGTTTTCTTACATGAGAAGATTCTAGAATGTTCACCCAGTATCGATTAGCTCTGATTGGATACGAAAGAGCCAATCAGCGCGCAACAACACAATCATGATCTAATCCAGTCCATGTCGCGCTAACAATAGAAGACTAATTTTTAGGTTACTGAAATGACAACACTTACGTACTAGATAAATGAAAGAATGCACGTTATTGCGCTATTATTAAAAATCGATAAATTGTAATTATCCTCACACATTCCCGTCTTTATGTAGCTCTGAACTTCATACACAAGGTATCCTTGGTTGAGCTTCACTGAAACCATCAATCAATTATTGTTAAGGGCATTATTAGAAACTTGGAAGCACTGGACAGCCGTTTCATTCTGGTATGGGATGCATCTACGAACCCCACTCGTGGGACTCAAACCCAGAACCTTTGGTCTCTCACGCAAACGATTAATCTCCTGATCACTAAACCAGCATCCAATAATGCTGGTGTTTAACTTCAGTCACTCCATGATATTACGCAACCATACCCATTGTCTTCGGTAGTAACTGCCCTACATCCGACAGGGTTGATGATCTCCACTGGTCACTCTATAATAAAGAAGTATTCATTGGCTAAATTAGTATTCATTCGTCATTCTTAGTCGATCTTTTTATTAAGACTAAGTGTTTTGGATCAGAGTGGTCCAGGAAAAAGAAAAAGATCACTAAACTGTTCTATCAGAGATCTACGATCTAATATCTGATGTAATGAAAAATACATACGAAAATATAAATTAACTCAGTTATTGATTGAAAATTGTGAAAGTTAGAAAAAACGAGGGGATGTGATTGGTTGATTTAAGACTAGAGGTTAAAGTCATGATGAGTTTACGTTTTTCTTTAGGTGTCTGGACTGGAGTATGTGTTTAGCTAGGCCAATTAGATCTGGTGTTATGCCAGAATGATGAGAATAAACCGCTCCCCGGATTTTAGGGTACACGATATCTAATTGTGGTATGAGCGTGAGGATACTAAATCATTTGTAGACGGCTTAATGTTTTGTTGGGGAGACGTAAGTGCTCGAGCAGCTTTCACACTGTGAGTCAATGTATCCAACTCTTACTCGACGTAATATTCAGTGAATTAAAATCTGGCTGTCGTTATGGTAATCCTATTTAGGACGAGAGGAACCACAGGTTCAGATAATTCAGGTCAAAGTCATCAGAAGATCGAGAGATTGAATAGATTCTGAGTTCTCTCTTAATTTCGCTTACGATTGTAAATATTCGTCAGTGATAGGTTTTGTCGACTAAACGTCATTCTTACTTAAAGACTAGGCAATCTAATCCTGATTATATGTGATGTACAATGTCTGAGATGTGAACATGATACGATCTACCGCCTCTCCATCCAACTGACTACTTGAGTGAAATGGCAAGAGTTACCTTTGCCCAACCACCGACTGCTTCGGCAAGCGATGTTGTCTGATGTAGGAGTAGTAGACTGGAAGAAAGCTAAGGGCAGCCAAACCAAAACATGACACAAATCCATGAAGTCACTCATAACTGGACTGAGACATGTCACTAGGTGTAGATTTGCCTGCTTGGGGTACACAAGACAGCCGTAACCGTCCGTTAGAGCCTTTGAATGACATTACCCAAAATCGTTTGCAATGGCGCAGGTGCATCCATTCTTTGTGTTTTCTCAAATTATAATCTGAATTCCTCATGACCTTTTTTTAAATTTATTCCACTGAATTATACTTCCTGAACCATATCTTCCAACTCTAATCTTTTCCATTACCGCTAATACTGCTACAACCTCTACTTCTATATGATTTGAATCGACTCATCAGCGCTAATAGCCTGGTGACTGACGAAATCTCAGCGCGGATACAGAAAGCTCTATTGTCTTTTGCCAACCTGCGTCATTTATGGCGTAGGCATGATATCCGTTCGCTAACCAAAGGACGGGTGTACTGTGAAACATGGCCGTTAAGAGTAGAAGATGTTCGTAGGTTACTAGTATTCGATCATAGATGTTTAAGAAGCACTGCTCGTAAATCCTGGGATAACCGAGTAAGCAATGCTGTCGTTAGGAAACGAGTACTTGGTAAGGATGGCAGATCAACTGATCAAGTGGTGAAACTTCATCAGTTGAGGTGGTTGGGACATGTGCTACGTATGCCTAACCACCGACTGCCTCGACGAGCTATGTTTTGTGGTGTAGGAGTAGGTTGGAAGAATGCTAGGGGCGGCCAGACCAAAACATGGCATAAATCCATGAAGTCACTGACAACAAGTGGACTGAGTCATGTTGGTAGATTTAGACTACCTGGTTGGGCTCCGCGAGACGAAAGTCAACAATGGTTAGAGACCTTGAACGTCATGGCTCAAAATCGTTTGCAACGGCGCAAGTGGATCCATTCTTTGCGCTCTCTCAAATCCTAATCTTCTGGATTCGTCAGCACCTCCTCTACCTTTGTCTTCCTAACCTTATCTCACTGAATTATACTTCTTGAATAATATCTTCAAACCCTAGTCTTCTTCATAACCATTAATTCCCTTTACTATCTTTATCACTATGGGATTTGATTTGACATCTGTGTCTTTGTGCTAATCTGGTATGGCAACATGAACTTATGTACACACGTACGTAGTTCTACGTTGCAACTGACTGACTTATTCGAATTGACAATTCAATCTTTCTGTACTAATGTGGTGGTATGGCTAATTGAACTGATGTACGTACGTACGAAGTTTTACGTTGTAGTTGACTGACTGATGCATAAACACTCATTATAGTAGTATCTATCATGTAGGTTGTAGAATACTGGTAGGCGGCCTATGCTCCATTGGGAGTAACAGGCGTAAGTAGGTAAGTAAGTTAGTTATATGAATTGATGGCTGTCTTGCGAAATGATAATAAATATTGTCTTTATTTCTATTTTTACAAAAAAGTGATCATATTTCATCTTAAAATATATTTTATTTTGTTTTAAAACACAACCTATAGATTGTCGTGTAAGTATTGAATTGTCTCGATTGCCAATTTTATGGATGAAACCAGAAAATCGTAATTCTGAAAGTGTACGTAAACATTTAATGGCTAGTCTACATATTGGTATACCACGAAAACGTCTTGAAGCGTATTTTTCTAGAATCTCTACAATTTATGCGTTTCATGAAGCCGATATTGGACATGGTGAACCTTTTGGTGAGTAGTTATAAAATTATGATGTAATTTCATTTGAAATTATGATCATTGATCATTGTTAGATCACTATTAGAAACTTAGAAGTAGTAGACAGGTGTTTCGTCCGAGTGTAGGACTCATCAGTGTCAGTGCACATCTACGACTTCCGCTCACGAGAACCGGACACAGGACCTTCAGTCTCGTGAGCGAACCCTTGAATTCTTGACCACTGGACCGGTATCCAACTTTAATCAGTCCACTGTTATGTGTGCGCGTTAACATGTTATTTGATATGTTAGGATTATTACGAGTTTACCTTCGTCAGTGAACCAGAGCGAGGATCGAGGACCCGGCAACACGACAGACTTGAGGGACCTGAAAACGAAGATAGATTAGTGTTGGTCTTAGAGACCTGGGAGCGTGATCGCAGAGTCCAATGGACAACTGCTGCAGGCCGATTACGCACGGCCTGTTTATGAGAAGCTTCCAGAGTATTAGCTCCGCTCTTAAAAGTCCTTAGTGGGCACCCTTACCGCCGGAGACGGAAATCCGTGAGATAGGGTGAGGTGTGACATTTTTAGGGTCGACCTTTTCTAACCCTTCCTTGTGAGAAGGCAGCATTACTGCAGATGCTGGTTGTCCGAGGGAAACTACCTTACTGCTGTCACACGCCTCTGCAGTCAGCAGTACGACTTCGCCCTCAGACCTTGAGTAGCTGCTTTTAGTCTCATCATTCTCCAGTTGACCTGCCTGGCATGGTAGGACCTTCAGGAACATATGTTCCAGGCAATATAGCTCGATTGGGTGATCACGATAGGCAAGCCCGACCACCACGTCAAGGTAGTAGCTTCGGTCGGGGACACGACAGACTACTCTAATTCGAGTGTCCCAAACCCCATTTGTGAAAAATAAGACTTGATATGAATTAGAACCTGTATTCTACAAGCATCCATAATGTACGACGTCCGCGTCCAGAAGGGAATCAGGATCCCAGACTAGGGATCCGGGTCCGGGTCATAAAACATTACAGATGATGCGTATTTATACAGTTAGGTGGAATAGGAAACAACATTGAAGTCTGTGACATTGACAGTTAGGACAACCAATAGAAAACAACATTTGAATTGACATTGATATCTAGGACGACCATAAAATTGACCAGTAGGAATTAACCTATAGAATTAGACTTACAAAAATAATTCTCTTAGGATAAATTGATGAATATCCCAACACACGAAATTACGTGACCTTACCCATTGTACTCGGTAAGTAATTGTCTCACATCGGACACCGTTGAATTCCACTGTTGACGCCTTCTCACTAGAACTCTGAAAAACTCCTTACGAAACAATTTACGTGTGAACACATTTTTTATGATTTTTCATAGCAGAGTTGTAGAAATTATTGAGTTTCATTGAAATCATGAATCGTTCAATGTTAAACAACCATTGAAAATCTGAAAGTACTGAGCAGACGTTCAATATAGATTCTGACGGAGTGATCCATGAGGCTAAGAATTCACCTATGAGATTGAAGACATTGAGTGAGGTTGTACAAAATCTTTAGATTGATCAAAGTTAAACATTAACACCGTTTGATCCCGGTTCAGTTGGTCCAGGGGTTAAGCGTTCATTCGCAAGACTGAAGGTCCTGGGTTCAAATCCTGCGAGTAGCAGAAGTCATGGATGCTCACTGTCATTGATGAGTCCCATACCAGGACAAAACGGTCATCCAGAGGCTTATAATGACGGTCTAACATTGATCAATTCATGATTTCATATGTGCAACTTAACAATCTTCACAATCCCGTAATGCAATCACATGTACTCACTAGTGACTAGCTCCGTGAGGTATCTTCTCCGAGTTCTAATGGGGAGACGTGACCAGTGAAGTTCAACCTGTTTGATGAGTGTAGACAGTAACTACCGAAGACAGTGTATGAGGTTGCGCAACTCTGTGAATTGATCGAAGTTAGACATTAACACCATTAGATACCGGCTCAGTGGTTCAGAGGTCAAGCGTTCACGCTCAAAACCGAAGGTCCTAAGTTCGAATCTCCCGAGTAGCAGAAGTCATGGATGCACACTGCCATTACTGAGTCCCATCCCAGGACGAATTGGTCATCCAGTGCTTCCAGAGGCTTCTGATGGTGGTCTAACCATGATTGATTGATGATTTCAAATGTGTAAAAACATAAACCTCCAAAACTCTGCCCGAAAATATCATAACAGTGCTCACTAGTGTCTAGCTTCGTGAGGAAATTCTCGGAGTTCTAGTGAGAAGACGATACTAATGGAGTCCAACCCTGTCCGATGTAGGCAGTAACTACTACCAAAGACAAATGGGTGAGGTCGCGCGAAATCCCTAGATCAATCAGAGTTAGACATTAACACCGTTGGATGTCGACTCAGTGGTTTGGTGGTTAGGCGTTCGCGCACAATACCGAATGTGCCGGGTTTGAATCCTGTGAGGTGCAGGAGTGGTGGATGCGCACTGCTGATGAGTCCCATATCAGGACGAAATGGTCATCCAGTGCTTCCAAAGACTTTTGATGATGGTCTAACAATGATTGATTGATGATTTCAAATGTGTGAAAACACAAACCTCCAAAACTCTGAAAATAGGAAAGAGTTAAATGAAACTAATCTCCTAACCAAACCATATATATAGGCACATTTCGTTTTAGTATGTTAGCAAATCAATAAAATTAACCATTGGTTTTTTTTTCGAACTACCTTTTTATTTACAGTTTCTACAAGATTTTTACTTTTTTTCAAAAAACCAAATCATTCCAATAGTTTTCAGCTTGTGTTATACAGTGTTACAATTTATTGATATTTCCCTACCCTACCCCTTACTACAACTAATAACTACTGAAAGATATTGATTGTACCTTTTTTCTCTCTACATGTAAATCTGATTGCAAGCAATAACCACAAAAATTACAAACAAACAAACAGAAACACTAATTGAAGTTGAATAATTTTCGCCAATTTTAGGACATGGTTCTTTGCCCCCCTTTTTTTTCCCTTACAACTCTAAAAAAATGATAAATCGATCAATGTGAGATCATCATTAGAAACCTTAGAAGCATTGGATGGCTGTTTCGCCCTAGCATGAGGCTACTCATCCGTAGTAGCAGTGAGCATCCATGATCCTTGCACTCGGGTGTCGAACAAATGACCTTCAATCCAATTATTTGGACATGGTTACTTTTGTTGGGCGGTGGGGGGGAGGCGTTAGATCCCTCAGAAATCATTTGATAAAGGTCGTAACTGTGGATTTTATGTTTTCGAGCATGGACTGATTAGTTGACCTTGAAATCACAATTTCCACCTGTAGAATACTTGACTGTCATTGGTTGATGTGTTATTTTAGTATGCTATTTTTTGTGGCCCTCCCAAGGACGTTTCTCTGATGTGCTTGTGTGCTTGTCAAACTCGTGTTATTCTGGATGCTTGTAGAATATACTTTCTTCGCCAGATCAAAACTTCTTCCTCTTCTTAGTAGGGTCTTGGGACGCTCGGATGAGATTAGCCTATTATGTCACTAGATCATTTGTCTTCGTTTTCGTTTACCGAGTAAGGTCAACTCGTAATAGTAGTTTCAAGCATATCAACTGATGAGCATGTCAACTTTTATTTTTTCAGAACTACTGTGACATTGTATTTTATTATTTAATTTGAATGTACAACAGTATTGATACAGAAAACAATCGAGCAGTTATTGATTTTAAAATCAAATCTCATTAGCTGGTAGATTGTTTTTTCTGGTAAAGTAGTCTTTAATTCTTTGGAAACTTACAACACTTCTATATGGATTTCAGTTATTCGATCTTTTAGGTTTCTATGATGAACTAATAATATAGGTAATACTATTGTGGTGTGTGCTACTTATACGAACGATATAAGTAGTATAAGAAGGGACGTAAAAGAAGAAGAATTCGCACGGTCAGAAGAGGAAAACGGAAAGCAAATGGATCAAAAGCAAGAAGTAAATGGAGTTGTACCAACAGAGGAAGGAAAGGAAACAACAACAGGAATGCAAGAAGAAGGATGGAGTGTTGGAAGTCACGACTCAAAGATGGTGTGCAAATAGTGTGTTCAATGTAATGTTTTCGTTTTTAATTGACTCAGAGTGTAAATTTGCATAATACAATCTTCCTCGCCTGCCTCAGTCTTCTCAATTGGTGTCGCTGCCTCTACACAGTAGTTTGAAGACGGAGGTGTAAGGAGCTTCTTGAAGGAGTTCGAAGCCGTGGCGGAGCTGATAGGAGTCAAGGAGCAGAGGGCGAAGGTGGTGGTGTTGGGGACTGTACTAAGAATCAGGGCGAGAGCGGTGTACGTCACCACCTCCCAGTCAGCGTCCTCCCCCCTTCTTATACTACTTGTATCGTTCGTTTAAGTAGCACACACCACACTATCACTAGACTTGATCCTCAGTGGAGCCTAGGCCACCAACCAGTATTCTCATTTACCTAATCTATCCTGGGCTTTCTCTTCCACTTTTATCCAATTGCTGTTCATCCTTTCGATATCCACTTCCAATTCTCGGCGTAAAGTGTTCTTTGTTCTTTCTCTTTTCCTTTGGCCTTGAGGATTCCAGCCTAGGGATTATCTTTTGAAATATTTAAGTGCTCGCCACAATGTGTGTCCTATCTACCAACTCTGGCACTTCTTCCTGATTTCTTCCTCCTCTGGAATCTGATTTGCGTTTTTTTGGCCAGTTTAATTTTCTTCGGAATAGGGTCGCTAACCTCCATGCTCAACCCTCCTCATTTATTCACACTTGGAACTGACAGAGGGGTTTCAGTGGTATTGCGGTTCTAAACCTGTTTGTGTTGTTTTGGCTGTGTACTACTCAGTTATATCTTATACGGCCATTTCATGATGCTTTGAAGTTTGTCAATAATGATTCAGCTTAGATCAATTGTTGATCTTAATAAAATTAAACAGAAGTCCGCAAATCCACAACTATTTGTATCTTCATGTTTTTTTTTCCTTTTCAGATACAGTTACAATTCATTTAGATTGTAATATGACAGTAGATGAAGTTGCATTGGGTTTATCACTGCAAACATTAACACCATTTCGATTTTCCTGTAATCGATTATTATTACAACGTTTACCAGAAATTAATTTTCCACCGTATAGTTTAATAAGATTATTTGATCCTTTAGTAAGTTACTTTTATTATTGTGTGTGATTTAATCATATTGCACATTTTTGAAACCATGAATCGATCAATGTTAGACCATCATTAGAAACCTCTGGAAGCACTGAAAGACGGCCGTTTCGTCCTGGTATGGGACTCCTCAGCAGTGCGCATCCACGACTCCTACACCCCGCAGGATTCGAACCCAGGACCTTCGGTATTGTAGGCGAACGCCTAACAGTCGAACCACTGAGCCGGTATCTAACAGTGTTAATGTCTAACTTGATCAAATTCACGGAGTTGCGCAACCTCATACACAGTCTTCGGTAGACACTGCCTACACCCGAACAGGTTGAACTTCAGTGGTCACGACTTCCCACTAGAACTCGGAGAAGATTCCTCACGAAGTTAGTCACTAGTGAGCACAGGTAATTTGCATTACGGGGTTGTGAAGATTGTTAAGTTACACATTTTTGAAACCATGAATCGATCAATGTTAGACCACCATTAGAAGCCGGGAAGCACTGGATGGCCGTATGCAATGCGCGTCCACGACCTCCACAACCGAGAATGGAACATAGGACTTGTTGTCTCGTGAGCGAACTCCTTAACCTGTAGACTAATGAGCTGGCATCCAATGGTGTGAATGTGTAGTAACTTCAATCTATTCACGATATTACGTGACCTCACCCATCAGTAGGTAACTGTCTCACACCCGACAAGGTGGAACTCCATTGTTCATGGTTTCTCAGTAGAGTTGTGAGAAGTTTTTTATGCCTGCATTTAAACACGTCAACTTGATATAATTGAACTATTACGAGTTTACCCTTTGGTCGGAAACGCGAGAGCGAGGATCGAGGATCCGGTGACACAACATGCTACTCAAATCTGATTATTCCAACCCCCATATTGAGTAAAAATAGGAAGACAAGACTTAATATGAAGTAGAACCTGTATTCTACAACCATCCAGAAAGTACGAGGTCCGAATCCAGAAGAGAATCAGGATCCCGGATTAGGGATCCGGGATCGGGTCCTGGTCGTGGTCATAAATGCGTATTTATACATTTTGGTCGAATAGGAAACAACATTGAAGTATGTGACATTGAAAGTTAGGACGACCATAAAATTGACCAGTATGAATTAACCAATAGGAATTGACCAATAATTTTTCTTAGGATATTGGATGAATATCCTAACAAATTTTTTCTCACGAAGATAGTCACTAGTGATTAGCTTGTGTTCGATTATCACGTGCGAGAGTCGTGGATGCTCACTGCTGATGAGTCTTGTACTAGGACAAAACGTCAGTCCAATGCTTCCAGGTTTCTAGTGGTGGTCTAACATGGATTGATTTATGATCTCAATGGTTGATTCCGGTTCTAAGGTTTGTCAAGAGAACGGAAATAAATGAATATTTTTACGATTTAGTGATATGATCTATAATTTTATCATTCAAAAATATGTCATAGCTCCCAGTCGCGGTATCCCAACCTGATACTAATACACAAACTTCCTATACGCAAGAACTCCCATTAGCTACGAAGTGAGAGGACTAAAAGGGGGAGAAGGAAGTTCATTGAACTGTAAATCGATTCGTATATGTATATATATCCCTTGGAAAGTTAGCCGTCCCCTCCTTCCTTACTGTTGGGGATGTTAGATCCACGAAACTCGCCTGTTAAATGCCTTATTTTGGATTTCACGTTTGCAAGCATGGGCTGATCAGTCGACCTTGAGATTTCATTTCCCATAAGGAAAATCCATGGCTGTGATTGGCTGCTGTGTATTTTAGTGTGCTATTTTCGTAACTGTCCCAAGGATGTTTCTATGATATATAAATAAACGAGAGTTGTATGCTTGATTGTATTATGATTGCTGGGTGTTTGTAGAATATACTTTCTACGTTTACAAAGCCTTTTATCTTCAGCTTGGGATTCAAGGTAGCCAACCTGGACGCTGGGTCACTGTCTCGTTCGCGTTTATCGACTAAGATGAACTCGTAATAGCTTCAAGTGTACCTAGTGACGAACCCTACACTTACTTACGTCTGTTACCCCTTGTGAAGTAAAGGTCGCCGACAACTGTTCCTTGGTTAGTCATACATAGTAATTACCAGAAGAATTTTGATTGGTGCAACACCGAATTTTTATTTCGTGAATTCTAATTGGTCCACTTTGTGTTTTATATTTATCTGCCATTTTCAAAAATCATTTTTCCATTTCCTTTGATTTTTAGTCAATTACCCAATTCGAATTAGAAGATCCTACAATCGGTAGTAGTATAGCTGTAGTGTTACCATCTGCTGTTGGTTGGTTAATTAGTTTACGTAATTTACGAGCATGTTCACTGCCATCCTGTATACCACCACCTCCGGATGTTGTACCAGCCACGCACTCGATACCGACAAATATTGTCGTATCAAATATGAACAGTGTACAATCGAGCTCATCATCATCATCAACTCAACAATCATTGTCCTCATCGCCTGGCTCCTCCTCGTCCTCCGCCTCATCAACTTCCTCCTCGACATCTGACACCTCTTCTGGGTCTCCCACCACCACCACCACAACAACAAGTAATACATCACAAAATTGTACTACACCAGCATTCACTTCAACTGTTGCTGCTTGTCGTCTATTAAATCGTGCACTTGTATCATTGAGATATTTACAACGACTTGGTTTAGCACGATGTCATTTAACTGGACAATTAAAAACTTTACTTGGTGGATTAAGTCAACCATTGGAGTATTTAAATTTACAGGTATATTGATGTGATATCGTAAAGTACTATTGATTTGTAATTGCTATCGTGAATGAATGATTGTTAGACTGTCATTCACGATGTGGAAGCACTGAATGGCTGCCGTTTTGTCCGGTTCATGGGACTACTTAGCAGTGACAGTCCGTATCCACGACTTCTGCTGCCCGCAGGATTCGTGAGAAAATTCTTGGTGGTCTAGTGAGAAGACATGACCAGTGGAGTTCAGCCCTATCTAGTGTGGACAGTAAGTACCGAAGACAAATGAGTGAGATCGTACAAAACCATTAACACCGTTGGATGCTGGCCCAGTGATCTATAGGTTAAGCGTTCGCGCGCAACGATGAAGGTCCTGGATATGAGTCCTGTGAGTATCAGGAGTGTATGGATGCGCACTGCCACTGATGAGTCCAATGTCAGGACGAAACGGCCAGGTTTCTAAAGGTGGTCTTACAATGATTCATTCGTGATATCAGTAATAATTCCTATACTTTGTATATTACTCGTCTTGACTTATGTTATTAGATGACTATCAACATACAGTAAATTTCAGCAAACACTATGAAGTGGTTAACAGTTTATAGCAAGACCACCCAAGCACACGAAACGAACACGAACAGTTGTGTGGATTGTGAGAGAACAAGTGAATAGGGTTGAAGAAGCACATTTATAAGTGTACGAAAGCGAACGAGTCATTAAACGTAAGTGACTGACGTTTAAGTTAGTGAAAGGAATGTGTGTGTGCTCTGAGATGTGATCAGTCATACGTAATCATGGAAGTATTGGGATTTATTGTGTAGAAATTATCGACTACTTGTTTTCGGTTTTCTTATGAGAGATTGTTAAAGTGTTAGCTCCGCTCTTCGAATGGCCTTATCCCTGGAGACGGAAATCTGTGAAGTAAGGTCAGGTGTAAAATTTGTAGTGTCAACCTTTTCTAACACCTTCCTTCCGTTGTGTGAATTCAGCATCGCTGGCGATGCTGAGTTACTGAGTTACTCAGTAAAATCGGAAAACCATATCGTAAATCGTTCATTTGCAAAATATCAATCCATCATCCATCGAACTGGACTGTTCCTGTTGCAAAACATCAATCCATTGTCACTATTCATGCGTTTCATACAAATCCCATTGTGTTCCAGCTCTTCCTTTCTTGATCTTCCCTCATCTTCTGCTGCCACACATTACGTTTTTACTCGCGTCATATACTACTTATAAATAGCGCGCACCACATTATGACTTCGCCCTCAAACCTTAAGTTTCTGCTTTTGGTCTTACCACTCTCCAGTCGACCTTCATGGCATGGTAAGACCTAAAAGAATATATATTCTAGCCAATATAGCTTGGTTGGATCATCATGATAGGCAAGCCTGACTGCCACCATCACATCAATGTAATAGTTACGGTCAGGAGTTTCGATGAATTTCACACTAAGATAAAATAATTATGCAGTGGTTCCTCAGTCAGTCAGTTGCAACGTAGAACTTCGTACGTATGTACATAAGTTCAGGTTGCCATACCACATTAACACAGAGACGCAAATGTCAAATCAAATCCCATAATGATAGAGATAATAGAGGTATTAATGGTAATGAAGAAGACTTGGATTTGAAGATATTATTCAAGAAGTATAATTCAGTGAAAGAAGCTTAGAAAGAAAAAGGTAGAGGTGCTGACGAATCCAGAAGATTAGGATTTGAGAGAGCGCAATGAATGGATGCACTTGCGCCATTGCAAACGATTTTGAGCCATATCGTTCAAGGTCTCCAACCATTGGTAACGTTCATCTCGTGGACCCCAACCAGGTAGCCTACACCTACCAACACGACTCATTCCATTTGTCAGTGACTTCATGAATTTCTGCCATGTTTCGGTCTGTCCGCCCCTAGATTTCTTCCAACCTACTCCTACACCACAAAACAAAGCTCGTCGAGGCAGTCGGTGGTTTAGTGGCATTCGTAACACATGTCCCAACCACCTCAACTGATGAAGTTTCATTACTTCATCTATTGATCTGCCATCCTTACCAAGTACTCGTTTCCTAACGACAGCATTGCTTACTCGGTTTTCCCAAGATACACGAGCAATGCTTCTTAAACATCTATGATCGGTTACTAGTAACCTACAAACACCTTCTACTCTTAATGGCCATGTTTCGCATTCATATAGAAGAACGGAGCAAACTGCTGCGCAGTACACCCATCCTTTGGTTAGCAAACGGATATCTCGCCTACACCATAAGTAACGCAGGTTGGCAAAAGCCAATCGAGCTTTCTGTATCCGAGCTGAGATTTCGTCAGCCACCAGGCTATCAGCACTGATGAGACTCCCCAGATAAGTGAAGTGATCAACACGTTCGACTGCTTCACTCCCTATCACTAGTTCAGGTGGCGATGCAACCCAATCTTGAAGCAACATTTTGCATTTCGAGGGTGAGGACCGCATCCCAAACATGCTTGCATTGTTGCTTATGGTAGTCAGAAGACTCTGCATTTTGTCAGCATCTTCACCGAATAGAACTATGTCATCGGCATATTCTCGATCAGTAAGCGACTTTCCTGGTAGAAGGTCAACCCCTGAAAAATCTGACAAGCTTAATGATAACTCTAAATTTCTAATAAAGTACTCTCTAGCTTAAGATTCATTCATCATTTCAACTACAAAGCTGTATATTTATTTCAATGTTAACATTGTTGCAGTTAATCTGTTGTTGTAATGGTATGCTTAAATAATTCCCAGCTAAATCCTATTGCTTAGTATTCTCTGACCACACAATACACTGGACAAGTTCCAAAGAATCAAAAACACGGTTGAACATGAAAAGATTATATTCCAAATAGCAAGGTTAAAAGGAAATAAGAAGCCAAAGGTGATGGCGAAGGTGAAGACCGAAAATAGATACAACGTTAGTTTATTAATAGCATTTACATGAGAAGCTTCTGAATAGTAATTCACGTAATAGACTGGATTACATTTAACCAATCAGCATGCAGCTAACAGCACGAGAATTTTCTATCCTGTTCTCCAAGATTCGATCAGTTGCTGATTGGATAGGAAATTAGCCAATCAGCGTGTAGCAACTTAGTCATGCTTTAATTCCATCTATGTCCCACTAACATCTGTTTTTTTTTTCTCTCTCTCTCTCTCTATTCAGGATTGTTGTCTTTCATCGGAAGATATTCATTATTTAATTCAACAATGGCGTCCATTACATGGTCTTTACGAGCTAAATCTTTCACGTAATAATTTATCTGTTGTACCTAATGAAACACTATATGAACTTGTGCAAAATATTTGTTTAAAGCCAAAAGGTCGATTAGTTTGCCTGTCAATAGCTTATACATGTTTATCCCCTGAAAGATTGATTGATCTACTGAGTTTAATGGCTGGTATGGATCCTTCACATGTAAGTAAGAAATATATATATAGTTTGAAATTTATTTTTTATTTTCGTAATTGTAATTGTAAATAGTAAAATGCGGGGTTTCAGGAGATCAGGAATAACGTTTTATACGGTCGAATCGTTTGCTTCAGTGGTGGTGTGGTGTGTGCTACTTATACGAACGATTTAAGTAGTAGTATAAGAAGGGACATGAAAGAAAAAGAATTTGCACGGTCAGAAGAGGAAAACGGAAAGCAAATGGAGCAAAAGCAAGAAGTAAATGGAGTACCAACAGGAACGGAAGAAGGATGGAGCGTTGGAAGTCACGACTCAAAGATGGTGTGCAAATAGAGTGTTCAATGTAATGTTTTCGTTTTTAATTTACACTCTGATTGTAAATTTGCATAATACAATCTTTCGCGCCTGCCTCAGTCTTCTCAGTGCGAGTTTACAAAGGGTCGGAAGAAGGGTTGGTTGTGGAGATAAGAGAGTTGTTAGAAGGTGTATAAGAAAGATTTGATTGTGATTAGTTTGTTCTCGTGTGCTTTTACGGGTATGAGGGTGGATGTTACTTCCCGGCTGCCCACACCGTAGAAGAGCTCTGGTTTTCAGGAGGGACGTCTGTTTCATGACTTCCCGAAAGAACTTGACTTTCATTATGAGACGTCAATCAAGGTGCAGATGTGGGGGCGCAGACTGGCAAAGCAAGGGCTGCGTTTATACAGTTGAAAAATATCTGTGAACTCCAAACAACTTTCAACCAAAACCAAAATCAGGATTTTCAATATAAATGTCAAGACAGTTCTACTCTATGGGGAGGAAACTTGGAGAACTACCAAAGCCATCATCCAGAGGATACAAGTGTTTATTAACAGTTGTCTACTCAAAATACTTCGTATTCGTTGGTCAGACACCATCAACAACAACTTACTGTGGGAGAGAACAAACCAGATTCTAGTGTAGGAGGCAGTCAGGAAGAAGCGGTGGATGTGGATAGACACACACTACGAAAAGCACCTAACTGCGTCACAAGACAAGCCCTCACATGGAACCCTCAAGGCAAAAGGAAAATAGGAATACCAAGGAACACATTACACCGAGAAATAGAGAAAGATATGAGAAGAATGAACAAACATTGGACAGAACTGGAGAGGGAAGCCCAGGACAGAGTTGTTTGGAGGCTACTCGTGGGTGGCCTATTCTCCATTGGGGGTAACAGGCGTAAGTAAGTAAGTAAGTAACTCTTCTAAATGAAGACCTAACTCCCAGAGCAGAGTTTAAATGATTTAAATTATTTTTTCTTGTTAGCGTTTTTTAGTGAGTTATCGTTCTACGGGATGGGGTCGCCAACCCCAATCCCAACCCTCCTCCTTTACCCGGACCTCGGAGAGTCTCCAGGCGTAGTTTAGTTCTGATTAAGTCTTTCGCAAAATGCGTTATATGAGAATCCTTGAATAGTTATTTCTGTCTTGAGTACGCATATTCGATACTGCTGATTAGCGTCTTTTTAGTAAGTTGGTTTTCTACTGGAAGGAGTCACTAACTCCATGCCCGACTCTCTGCGTCCTTATCCGGGCTTGAGACTGACAGTAACCTTGAAAGGGCTCCAAGCGAAGCTATGTTCGATACTTCTATAGATTGAAATACAGTACACAACCAAGCAATCCCAAATACAAATTGACTAAGTTTCAGTACAAATGATATTTCCCAAAGTCAAAAGATTATCATAATTATTATGAATTTTTATATATCTTAATAATCAACGTAGATTATTTCAGTCACATTTCAAAGAGTGTTTTTGAGATAAGTGTATAAAAAATCGAATTGAAACACTAATGTGTCTAGAAAACTGTTAGGACATTCATCCAATATCCTAAGAGAATTATTGGTCAATCCCTATTGGTCGGTTTCTATTGGTCAAAATTATGGTCGTTTTAACTGTCCAAGTCAAATACTTCAATGTTGTCTCTTATTGGTCATCCGGACTGTCAATGTCATTTCAAATGATCATTCCTATTGGTCGTCGTCCTAAACTGTCAATGTCAGAGACTTTGATGCTGTTTTGTATTCGACCAAAATGTATAAATACGCATTATATGTAACATTTTATGACCACGACCAGGACCAGGACCCGGTTCCGGATCCCTAGTCGAGATCCTGATTCTCTTCTGGATTCGGACCTCGTACTTTCTGAATGCTTGTAGAATACAGGTTCTACTTCATATCAAGTCTTCTTATTTTTTACTAAATGTGTAGGTTGGGAAAATCGGTTTTGAGTAGGATGTCGTTTCGCCGGATCCTCGATCCCCGCTCTCGTTTTCCGACTAGGTAAACTCGTAACAGCTTCAAGCGTACCTAGTAAAAAGCTTATTAAAAACCTCATAGAGATGACTTGAATCCTAAGCGTACTAATGATGCCAATGAGATACAAACGAATATAGGTTATTATAATAAATATAGGGTTGTGAAGCATGTTGAATTTCATTGAAATCATGGATCGATCGACAGTAGATCACCTTCAAAAACCTGAAAGTACTGGATAAGCATTTTTTTGTCTTAGTTTGGACTCATCAGCAGTGTATATGCTCAACGCCAAGAGTGAGAGTTGAACCCATGGCATACAGTCTGATGCGCAAACTCTTAACTTGTAGTGTGGTGTGAGCTACTTATAAGTAGTATATGACGTGAGTGTCAACGTAATGTCTGGCAGCAGAAGATGGGGGAAGATCAAGAAACGAAGAGTTAGAACACCAAATGGAATTTGTATGAAACGCATGAACAGTGACATTGGATTGATGTTTTGCAACAGGAACAGTCCAGTTCGATGTGATGAACTGATATTTTGCAAATTAACGATTTACGATATGGTTTTCCAATTTTACTGAGTAACTCTGTAATTGGCGATAAATACAATTCGGTTGCCCTCACCTGTGTTCTCGTTCACTACAGTAGACCAGTGTGCCGGCAACCGATAGTGTCAGTGTCTAACCTCAATCAATTCATGATCTTACACAACCTTCATACACTTCCTGTCGTGGATAACTGTCTTACACCCGATACGCTTGAACTCTACGGCTTTTATTACTCAGTCAGTCAACCAGTTACAACGTAGAACTCTTCGTACGTAAGTAAATCGTTTCACGTTGGCACACCATATTAGCACAGTGACGCTATTGTCCCTTCAAATCCCATTGTGGTAGGAATAGTAGAAGTATTAGCAGCAATGGAGAAGATTAGGATTTGACGATATTATTCAAGAAGTATAATTCAGTGAGATAAAGTTAGGAAGGCAAAAGTAAAGATGTTGATGAATCCAGAAGATTAGGATTTGAGAGAACACAAAGAGTGGATGAACCCGTACCACTGCAAACGATTTTAAGTCATATCATTCAAGGTCTCTTCACATCGGTGACTTTCATCTCAAGGACCCCAACCGGGAAGCCTACATCCTTCCAACATGACTCAGTTCACTTGTCAGTGACTTCATGGATTTGTGCCATGTTTTGGTCTGGCCGCCCCTAGCTTTCTTCCAACCTACTCCTATATCACAAAACATAGATCGTCGAGGCAGTCGGTGGTTAGGCATTCGTAACACGTCCCAACCACCTCAACTTCATCAATTGATCTGCCATCCTTACCTAGTACTCGCTTCCCCTTGAACAGATAGACAGTTGAAATGTTTACAAATGGTTCATGTTGACTGGATCAAAACTCAGCTCATACCAAACATATTGTAATTCAGAAAATATCAAGACAGAATATTAATGGATAACTCGAGTGTAAGATTCTAGACTAAATCTTCGAAATAAACTTTTTTTCTTGCTTCATGTATTCACCTACTTTTATTTTTTAAGTAGTTTAATTAAATCAACAAAATTATTTGCCCATTTTTCAGAACTTCAATGAAAATGATGAACAAGACGAGATTGATCCAACTTATACTACTACTACTACTACTACTACTACTACTACTACTACTACTGATAAATGGATGAATAAAGTGTGTACATTACGTGTTCTCTGTATACAATCATTTATACCACCATCACAATCACAAATACATCGTATATTATATCGTATAACACATTTACCAAAATTACATAAATTACATATCTTTCCAGCATTTTATGCATTTCCTGGTCATACAGAAACAAATCAACGTGATCAACGTCTCAGTCAATTAATGCATAGTCGTAATTATTTAAAACAAAGATGTCGACCTGATATTGAATTATTATAATCGTGGTGTATTGTTTTGTTTTAATACAAAAACTATTATGAATCATGCATGATTTTTACAATTCTTAAAAAATTAAATTTCTTTGTATTATGCATGCATGAAATGAGTGAGAATATGTAATTTACTTTCTGTTTTGTTCGGTTCGGTTTGGGTATTTTATTTTTAGCAACAACAACAAAAAAATAAATAATATTTTTGTTTTAATGCATTTCAGTACAAAATTCAATAAATTCTTTTTTCTATGCATCAGTTTAAATTATAAATTATAATGCAGTACTAGACAGCTACTACTATTTTTGGGGCATACTCGCTTACTTACGCCTGTTACTTTTCCTTTTGCCTTGAGGGTTCCAAGTGAGAGCTTGTCTTGTGACGCAGTTAGGTACGTTCCGAAATGTGTTGTGTCCTATCCACCAACTCTGGTGTTTCCTGATTTCTTTCTCTACTGGAATCTGGTTTGTTCGCTCCCACAGTTGGTTGTTGCTGATGGAGTCTGGCCAATAGATCCGAAGTATTTTGCGTAGACAACTGTTAATAAACACTTGTATCTTCTGTATGATGGCTTTGGTAGTTCATCATGTTACTGCTCCATACAGAGGAACTGTCTTGACATTTTTATGGAAAACTCTGTTTTTAGTGTTGGTTATTAGTTGTTTTGATTTCAAGATGGTCGTCAATTGTAGAAATACCACCCTTGATTCGCCTTATCCCTCCTATGTGTACATCTCTATCTGATTCAATGTGCTCATCAATGAGACTACCCAGATGTGTAAAGGTTTCTACATCCTTCGAAGTTTCTGCTTCAAGTGTTATTCGGTTGCTGCATGTTGTGTTATGTCGTAGGATCTGTTGGGGATGTTAGATCCCCAAAACTCGCTTGATCAATGTCTTAATTTTGGATTTTATTCATGGGCGGCTGATCAGTTGACCCTGAGATCACATTTCCCACCAGGAGAATCCTTGGCTGTGATTGGTTACTGTGTTATTTTAGTCTGCTATTTTTGTGACTCTCCCAAGGACGTCTCTATCATGTATAAATAAACGCGATTTGTGCGCTTGGATTCATTGGCCGGATGTTTTTAGAATACACTTTCTACTCTCTATCAAGACTTCTCGTTAGTATTTTGAGGTCAACGAATCAGATTAGCCTACCTCGACGCTGGTTCATTGTCTCGTTCTCGTTTATCGACTAAGATGAACCCGTAACTGGATCTTAATTTATCCTTTGTGTATTTTGATACATACTGCTGCAGCGATCATATCTTAGGGACCAAATATGAGTTGACAGTGACTGTCCACGTCTGTCTGAAAAAACCATGTTATACGTAGCTAATAGTTAAACCGGACAAATTAACTTGACAGACAAATCATTTTAATGTTATCAGTCATTCTGTGCACCTTCATACACACAGTTTCCTCTACATTTGTGTTTCTAAATGTCTGTCCTCATATGCATCCTATCTGTTGTCTGTTTTAAATTGAAGGGTTCATTAGATTGAGCAAGCTAGTAAATGTCTCTCCGATGAGCATCGACTCACTTTACAATTTAAAACAATTAGTCCCTTGAGATGGTCGAGAAAATTTGTAGCTCAGGTGGATGATTGTGGTGGTGTTTAGTTCTCTGAGCTGAATGTTTTGGTTGTGGAGCTTTCGTTGTTTTTCTGAACAACATCATCAGCACAGACTTCAGATGGAGTGAAGCAGTTTCGAATTTCTCCACCCGTTTGACCTGTAGCTTGTTCTGTTAACTTCGATCTTGATTGGTTGCTGTTGACCTTAAATCTGTCGTTGTTTGCACCCTTGTTTTGATTGTATCCGACCCTTTTGATCTGTTTCTTGATCCTGTGTCACCTATGATTTTTCTGATTGGTTGATAAATTGGGTCAGTGTCGATATGTTTGTTGATTGCCGATTGACTGACCTGAGTGCCAAGCTTCTAAAAATTCCCTAGTGTAATTTGTCCTCCTCCTACCCAGTATTTCCACAATATTCCAATCAAATGCGTGTCCATAATTGTCGGTGTGTATTGATATAAACAAAACGTGGTCGTGACGTTTGACTGCTAATTGGTGTTCACGTAAATGAAGCTGAAGATGCCGTCCACTTTCTCCTATGTAGTGTTTTTCACAGTTTGAGCAATTTATTTTGTAGATGATATTTGGTTTTTCTTCATTTGTCATTTTGTCCTTTGGTCTACATAGTTTTGATTGAAGTGATTCTGTTGGATTGTGTGCCACACCTATTCCAAGTGGTTTCAGTAGTCCGATATGTCTTTTATGTATGGTAGGATGATCCGTTTATTGGTTACTGTACTTGATTTTGCTTCTGTTGATGATTTCGGTTGATGTTTTTTGATGAAGTTGCGTGGATAGCCGTTCTTTTTTGGCAGATATTCACAAGGGGTTTTTCCTCTTTTTTTTTAATGCTTCGTATGTGCTGCAGTGTGTCTTCGCTCTCTTGAACAAAGTCTTTGTATACAGTTGATCTTGTGGGTTCTTAGGTTGTTGCTGTCGTAGTTGAGAATTACGTCTGTGTGGGTTGGCTTCCGAAATACTTGAGATCCCAGTTTTCCTGTGTTAGTTCTGGTGATTAGTAGTACATCCAGGAATGATAGGTTGTTGTTTGATCCCTTTTCCATCATGAATTTGATGTCATCGAAGACGTTGTTGATCCGATTGTAGATGTTCTCCAGCTCGTTCCTTTTGTTAATGACGAATGTATCGTCTACATCGCGAACCCACATTTGTGGCTTGATCACTGGTAAAATCGACGCTTCTAGTCTCTGCATTACAGCTTCCGCGATGAGTCCTGATATTGGTGATCCCATTGGTGTTTCTTTTGTTTGTTCGTAGACTCTGTTGTTGAAGTGAAAATACGACGAGTTCAAGCAGACTTTGACTCTGAAGCTTTGTATATATGTGCACTTCACTTTTATCTGAAGTTTGTGCTGATGATGTTGTTCAGAAAAGCAACGAAAGCTCCACAACCAAAATATCCAGCTGAGAGAACCAAATACCACCGCAATTAGTCCCTTTTAGATAAATTTTGATAGAACAGAGTGAGACGCTGTAATTGATCTAAAAAATATTGTGATCTATTTGTGCGCTATGCAGTTTGAACGACCGATTGCCCTTTTTAGACATACCGTTGAGTTTAAGGGAGAATGGGACCATAAAGCGGTTGGTTGATAGAAAGCCATCCTAGAAAAGACAATATTTATATGTCAGTAATTTTTGTCCATTACAACACAAGACAGGCTTAGTTAAATGCCTTTTCATTATAGAGCAAAAAAGAATTTGCATCACAGATACACATTGAAAACGATGCGAAATTCTTGTCTGAAACATTGATTTCAAACGATTATCTACTAAAGTTCATCATTAGGTGTAGAAATCACAGTTAAGACAAAAGCCTGTTTTTCATTCTACCGAAAAGTGTTTATATCACTTTATCATTTAGAGGTGAATCAAATGATCTCATCTTAAGACAGTGACTAAAAGCAGCCATAGAGAAAACATACAACGCTAGTAAACTAATTATCATTGAAAAGACTAAGCCCATGATTTCACATAGACCTAAACGTTGCTTGAATGATTACATCACACCTCATTGTATTTATCAATTTACATGTTTGTGTGGACACACATACATAGAGACGAATAATCGGTCTTTGCAATCAAGAGTTATGGAACATGTACCTAAGTGACTTCAAAGTTAGTTAACGTTAATTGAGAAATAGAAAGCCGTGTTCATCGTTTGCGAGACACATAATTGAAACAGGGCATAAGATTGACATCCAGACAGTCTTTACCAGGCTGGATAGAAATGTTGAAGGACGAATTTCGAGGTTTATCGAAGCCTTGGCTATTCGTTACTTCAAAACCCCCCTTATGTATACAGAAACAATCTGTTATAACCTTGAATTTACTCTAGTAATCTTTAAGTCATTTTATGGCCTAGGGTGATAATTACGTTAAGTTTCTCTCTCCTTCATTGACAATAATCACCTTATGTCTACTATTTGAACTGTTATTTAATTAACCTCTGATTAATTTTCACATAAAAATGCCTTGACAAGTGTATGTATATATGTATGACCAGATTGTTCCGAACATGTATAGCCCAAATGCATCACCTATTTTCAGGTCAGTGATATTCTCTCAGTAGGTTTAGGATTTGACATTTTTAATACTGCTGTTGCACAAGAAGAGGTTCACTCGTAGTGAACGAGAACACAGGTGAGGGCAACCGATTTGTATTTAACGAAAATTACAGAGTTACTCAGTAAAATCGGAAAACCATATCGTAAATCGTTCATTTGCAAAATATCAGTTCATCATATCGAACTGGACTGTTCCTGTTGCAAAACATCAATCCATTGTCACTCACTATTCATGCGTTTCATGCAAATTCCATTGTGTTCTAATTATTCATTTCTTGATCTTCCCCCATCTTCGGCTGCCAGACATTACGTTTTCACTCACGTCATATACTACTTATAAGTAGCTCACACCACACACTGAAATATTGTATACGAAAGTAAATAGGGCATTATATTCGATTAAAGTCAATACTTGACTACTTGTAAATGTCTTTGACTCACATATTCAATTCATACAAATCGAATCGATATCTCAATTAACATGCTTCAAAATCATCATTATAAGCCTAAAACTATTCGTGAGGCTACAGTTCAACGGAGATATTGCTAGAGATATACTAAGAGAGTGAGAGAGAGAGAGACTATAACAGTGAAGAGGACGATTAACATAGCCGACCTATGCGGCTGGTTCTTCAACTAAAAGATAAGTTACTTGATTTCGTCACAATAATGTGTATCTTTAAATTTAGTAACTATTTCCTATGGAGTAAGATAATATTAGGTGCACAATCAGACAGCTGAGTGCTTCGTAGTTAGTAAACATTACGAATAAAACAATACACTGCTTCATTCTGTCACACCTGATCGATATCGGTCATGTAGTAGACTGAACGAAATCATTTAAAGTAATTGATAGTACACCTATTAGTTTGCCTGATGAGGTTCGCTATCATCTCTTTCACATATATATTATTCCAAGTGGTTGATCGACGTCCTATTTTTGATCGAATTA